ATTACTGCAAATGGGACATACAGGTTGCTAGTCTTATGTGTGTGGTCAAATTAAAGTCACTTCCCATCATCTCTTTTATTCTGTTTTGCAATTGTCATGTATAAGGCAAAAAAGAAAAGAAAAAAGAAGGAAAGAAAAGAATAAAAGGAAGGGAGGAAGAAAAGTTAAGAAAGAACTGGCAATAAATATGGATGCTTGGGAGATAGGCTTGAATTGCATAGGAAACCATTTCAGTTTGCCCTAATGCTATCACTAACATCATACTTATCCCTTTAAAGAAAGCAACAACTCTAGGTTAAAAGTATACTTTATATATATTTCCTTTTATGATAGACAAAAAACATTTTTCAAGTGGAGAAAAACAGTTTTCAATCTTTAGGGAATATTTATTAATTCTCTTAGAGTTTAAAAAAAATTACAGGAATATTTAAAAAATTCCTATATTGTGGTATTAATTTATATTAAAAAATTCTGCTCCTTTTAGATGTAGTCATTACATGTATATATTTCACATAAGTTTACTAAAAAGTTGTGTGAGAAACACATAGGTATATTTTCAGAAAAAAAATTTTTTCCAGAAAGTTTGGATTTAATATTTAATTAGGACTTGATATGTAATATTTAATGATTTAAATAAGGAGGATACTATAGTAATAGTATTGCATATTAGAAAAAAAATGATGGGATAAAATATTAGGAGTAGGGTGGATAGATGTTGCCTGCCTAATACAAGGAAAACTGGTGAATCAGGACTGCAATTGGCTGCAAGTAAAGCAAACTTGACTATTGTGGCTTAAATATGTTTTAATTTTTCCTACAAACTAGACTATCTGGAGGTTGGTAGCTCATAATTGGTACAATGTGGCAATGAGCTTTTCAAGGTTACATATTATTTCAGTCTCTACATACTGCCATGCTTAGGGTGTTGCATTTTGTTTTCATAGTTACTTCCTCATAATCCTGGGATGGTTGTTAGATCTCAAGGCATTGATTCTACATTTCAGGCAGAGAGATGGAGGGGAAAGACAATGGTGTAAAAAGAAAAGAGAGAGAAGGACATATGTATCAGCTGTCCCTTTTTATTAAGAAAACAAAAACCATTCTGTAAGTCTTACCCAAGAGATTTTCCTACATCTTATGAGTTAGAAATGTTCCACATTTTACCTTCAGCTGCAACAAAAGCCTCTGTGGTTAAGAAGGCAAGAGAAGGAATGACTGGGTGATATTTAGTGAATCTACTACCAGAATTTAATTTTCACCACTGGTAGTAACAAAAATTATGTGCTAAGGAAGAAATGTTCTTGAAAAGAAATTCAAGTCTGCTAAGTATCACTCATGTAAATAAATAATCAAAATACATTTTCACCTGACAATAACTATTATTTGTCTTTTTAAATAAGATGCTATGGGTTCTTAGGTTTAGGTAATTCAAATATTACCTAATTAAGTTAGAAAATATGATTCAATGGATAATAATAATCACAACTGTTTTTAGGTACCTAAAGGGTGCCAGGTATTTAAAATTGTTAAAAGAAAACACCTGGGTATTTGTATATTTAGTTTTGATATGAAGAAACATATTTAAAGAAGTTAGATAACTTGCCCAATACCCACAGCCTAAAGCAGTGGACTTCGAATTTCCATCTCCTTCTGTCTGACTCAGAGCTTGCATTTGGCCCCTGTATCAACTTTACTGAATAGTGAATACTACAAATTAATAATGTATTTAACATAACTTAATTACATGAAAACGACTGTATTTTATATTTCAGGTCATCACTTATACTTAGATCATTCCAATATTGACCCTTTAAAACCCTCATCTCTCAATGAAGCACTGTCTTTTTACAACTCCATCTTGTTATATATAGTGATAGCATTCTCCTCTACTGTCAAAATTGTCTATTGGCAAAAATCAAAAGAAAATGTGGAGTTTGCATTCAATTTAGATTCAAAGACTCAAGCTAGAGGAATAATGCTCCTATAGAGAATTTTAGACATTACCTGCCATATAGGGAAAGGCGTTTTATTTGTTTATTTTCTTCAGCAGGTTTTTCCCAACTGCAGTTCCCTTTTTGTAAGTGAGCATAATTCCATCAATATGACAAGGTCTTACTCATATTGGGAGACAAGTGTTCTTTCCATTGCTTACTCCAATAAACTTAGTCATCTTTGACTCCTTTTTTCATATCCCATATTTGACCTGTCAGTGGATCTTATTAGCTCTACTTTTAAAATACATAAAATGTATATATAAAGCTTTCCCTCTACTCTCCACTGCTTCTACCCTGTTCCAAGTTATTCTTGTCTCTTATTCTCATCTGGATTATTGCTGTAGCCTCCTGAATGGTTTTCCTGACTTCACATTTACCCTCCCATTCTATTTTCAAAGTACCAGCCAGAATAATTGATTTCATTAAAATCTAAATCTTGACCATGTCAGGCCATGTCACCCCTCCTCTGCCTTCAACCTTCAGAGGTCCCATCCCACACTCGGTAAACTGGTCTTTACAATAGCCCGAAAGGCCCTTTATGATCTAGCCACTGGCCTTCTTTGATCTTATCTTCTTTCCTTCTCCAGTTCTCTCTGCTCCAGTCATAGGGCTGTCCTTAGCTTATTAAACTCGCCAGGTGCTATTCCATCTCAGGCTCTTTGCTTTGCATTTCCTGTTGCCTAAAATGCTTCTTCCCGGATCCTGGCATATCTAGCTCTCATTTCTTTTAGGTCATTATTCAAAACCTATTTTTCTAGTAAGGCTTTTCCTGGATACCCTTTTAAAGATTTCAACCTCTTCCCTTAATTTCATATCCTTCTTCCCTGCCGTTTTTCCTTTAGTACACTATCAAACATTCAATCTCATATTGAAAAGTGGAGATTTTTATTTGTTAGTTCTCTAGCTATTCTAAGCTCTTAGAACATTCTGGTATGTAGTAGATGCCTAATAAATACTTATTGATAGAATGAACAAATTAATGAGTGAATCAGAATAAATATGCAAAGTAGTGAAGAAGGTCAATCTTTTCTGAAATGTCTGACAGGGATCTCAGGACTCTTAAAGTTTTTCTTGTTAGTTATAATCTCTGTGCTTATTAAACCATTTGCATGGTTTTTTTTTTTTTACTTCACTTGTTGAATCTGGCTACTCTGCACATCAGCATTAACTGTAGTATATAGGAGATTACTTCAGACTCTTAATACTGGGATTTAGATTTTGACCTTCAAGTCTTTCCATTAGTGAATTGGAAGGATGTTAAGACTTCTCAAGACTCTGCCATGGATTCCATTTCTGCTTTATTCTTTCAGAATCTATTTCAGCTTGTTAAAATATTTTGTGTTAATTATTTTGTACTTTCATTTTTATTATGCAAAATTATTCAGAATAAAACATGCAAATTCTTTAAAAAAAAAAGGTAACATGCGGACAGTGTTGCAAAACTCCAGGTGGGAGCTGTGACTGTCATGTAAAAATGACATATGTAAAAGTTATAAAATATACAACTGAAGTGTTTGAAGGAGAAAGGTGTCATTTGGGGTAGATTTATTCTCAAAGTCAAAAGAAAAAAAAAGGGAAGTGATCCCACCTGTTCCTTCTAGAGGTTCTCATTGCATTGCCATGTTTAATGGCAATTTATGTGCTGTATTACAAACAGTTTAAATTAAAAAAAGAAGACAAGCTCTTGCCTTCTGGAAAATAGTCCAGTCAGAAAAATGATGCACAGTTGCAGAGTTAAATGTGTTCATTGAGTTGTTAGACCCATTTAAGTTCACAAACAGCGATAAAGGATGGCAAGTAAAAGAAGTGGAACTTCCTTTGATTTATTTTCATGATATATGTTAAAAGAGTCTTTCAAAAATATATACAGTTATTCTCCTCTGAGATAGAATTAGTATGTAGTGAAATGTACACATTTTTAGTGTACAATTTAATGACTTGACAAATGCATGTTATCAGTCATGTAACCGCCATCCCAGCGTCATGTGAACAGACATTGCCATCAGCCCAGCAAGTGCCCTTGTGTCCTTTTCCAGTTAATCCTCTTTCACTCACATGCAACCATTTTTATTTTTAAAACTGTTGATTTAGTTTTACCTAATATTAGCCTTCATATAAATAGGATTATGTGCTCTTTTGTGTTCAGCTTCTTTTGCTCAGAGTAATGTCTCTTCGATGTTCATGTTGTTGTGTGTGTATCAACATTTCTTTATGTACTTAGTATTCCATTGTATGGATACTAAACATTTGTCCATTCTTCTCCTAATGGAATTTGAGCTTCCAGTTTTTTCCACTTATGAATAAAACTTCTGTAAGCATTCTTGTGCAAATGATTTCTGTGGATATGTTTTTATTTTCCAGTAAATATCCAGAGGTGGAATTGCTAGGTCAAAGCATAAAGGTACATGTAACTTTATAAGAAACTGCCAAACCTTTCTCCCAAGTGGGGGTGCTGTTTTACACTTCAGGCTATCCATTTGTTCTTTAGAACAATATAGAATTCTACAATTCATAACAGAAAATGGTCATTTGGGGAACTTAGGTTAGGTGCCAAAATCACAAGGTATTTTTAAGTGCTGTCTGAGAATCTACTCTGTTTATTTTCTCCCAAGTAAGGAAAGTGGAGATGTTTCTGATTTTCCAGGAAGCAGCTGTGGAACAAATGTTTTTAAAAATTTACATGTTAAAAGAGTAGTTAAAACACACTTAATAAGAAGATAAGAAAGCTATAAACTAAGGCTATGGTGGAGATGATTAATCCTACAGTTAATTTGAGTTAATGGTTTCAGTTTTCTCCCTATTTTTTTCCACATAGCACCGGACAACAATCTTTGTTATGTGTGTTTCCAAAGTCTTCTCTAAATGCATTACAAAATGGATACCTACAATATATCCCTGAAATATTCCTTGAAAATCATTCCATGATAAAAAAAAAAAATCTTCTCAAGTAGGATGGAAGTCACAGTCTTAAAATCATTTTCATTACATGTGTTTTAAAAAGCTCCTTATGATATAGAATGCTTCTTGAACTGTGTGTCATCCTTGCACAGGACCCATGCTAATCTCCATATCATTCCAATTCCATATATGTGCTGTGAAAGGGAGCACTGCCTCGAGATGTTTTGATTTGATCAAATCCAATATCTATTATAACAAACCAGCTCTAATTTTTACCATCCATGTTTGGTGGATTTTAATACTTGTAACTTTTTCCACTTAACTCATCAAATTTTTGTTTTTTAAGAGTTAATGTCCAAAAGGGCATGGAAATTTCTGAAACCCCTTTCCCTTGTTGAAAAGGGGAGTTGTGTTTTGAAAGAAGTTCTAAAGGAGCTCCATTTTGGAAGATCTTAAAGTCAGTTCTGACTTCGCTATCCAGAAGACTGGGGAAAATGAATCACCCTCACCCCTGTGCATGTACCATTGCAGTGAAGTGGAGACTGTGAAGCTAACAGTAAGATTCCTAAAAGGCATGTGCTTTCACAAGCCTATTCTCATCTAAAATGTTGTTTTCCCTCAGAAACATATTTGTGTTTGAGAAAAAGCAATTACAGGGCAAAATTTTGAGGGAAGGTTGAAAACAGGTACCATGGAAAATATTATCATTGATTTTTATAAATGTATTTGGCAGTGAATGTGTGCTGAGTTGTCCAGTGTAAGCATCCAGGATTTTTTTTTCCATTGGTAGTATAGTAGAGTCCTCTTTCAGTAAACATGTGCTTTTGGAAAACATAAAAGGTCAGTTTTGGCCAACTGCATCAGTCTTTACTCTGCCATCTGAAAATAATTTAGACTTTGCCTTTTTGAATGACCCTTTAAAAATATACAAGACCTAATTCTATCCTTTACTCCCATAAAACTCCCATTGGACTCCAGTGGGAACATTTTAAAGTTAAGTTCTGAGGAATAAGGACATTTCATAATGCCTTCTTGTGAGAACTTCCTTGGGCAGAACTTGGCTGACGCATTCCTCCTGAGAGAGTTCTATGATCTTATTGGCTTTAGAGCTTCAAAATAGACTGTGCTATAAAGCATTTTTATACTTTTGCAGACTATTCATCGATCTAACGCTAAAATTCTCATGTGGTGAACATCAACAAGTAGATGACTCTCGGTGCCCTGGGGAGCCACCCTCCTCTGTCCTCCTACAGCGATCAGTAGCCGTGTTCATTCTCGGTGCCCGACTCCATGCTTCCCTAGTGCTCTGTTGTAAAACACAAGCCATTTAAAAAGAAAAAATGCTCAGTATGGGCCAGGCACTGCCCTAAAGCTTTACTGACCTTATTTCACTTAATCTTGTGAAGTAGTAATTACAATTCCTGATTCACTATAGAGTAACTTAGGGTGGCTAAAATATACTGAAATCACAGCAGAGCTGTTCTGTAGACCACGCTCGCTCTGTCTCCAAAGTCATGGATCTCAACTGTTGCACACCTCACATTATACTGTACTGTTGTTGTCCTTTACATACCTTTTTTATAGTAAAGGGGAGGTCACTTTTTTTGTGGGGGGTTCTTGTTTGTTTACCTCTCTCTCTAATGAGACTGACTAGCTTGAGATTGTGTTCCGGTTTTCCTCATCTTTGTATGGCTAGCGCAGGGTCCCTGAGAGTGCAGTAAATATACCTCAAATTTAAATATTACCCTTTCCTTGTGATTAGAAAAGTTCACCTCCTTGTTACACTGGACCAAAAAAACGTAAAACATAAGTCATTCCTAAATCCCATTACCAAGAAATAACTGAATAAATGTTTGATAAATGACTGAATTCAAAACATTTTAAAATCATTTATGGTCTTGTTCTGCTTTTAATACATTTATATAATAGTAGCACACCATGAATTGATTGATGATAATTAAGCATGATTAATACATGATAAAGTCTTTAGCCCTCATAAAGCTGAGGGGCAAAAAAGAGGGAAATTAACAAATGTCTCAATGATGAAACTGTTTTAATACCACAGTACAAATTTCCGGAAGGAGCATTTTATTTGGGAATATACATTCTTAAGTCCATTCATTTGGAAGTAGTAAACTAATCGGAAGTACTTATTTAAAATTTCTCTCTCTTAGGATCAGAAATACAATTCAGGATTACTGCAAAACTCTTTTTATCTGCATGCCAGTTAAATAGGACTTTATTAAAGTGCTATAGTTAAAAGCAGTTTATTGGTGAAAGTCTAGCCCCTAGTGGACGGGAGTCTCTGGTACACGCCCACACACACAGATTGTAGGGCTTGTGAGGCTGTCTGCTAGACCTCAAGGGCTTCAGAATGAAACAATCTTCAAGACTCTTGATGTTGATATGTTCTTCCAGTCTTTTTCATAACATTTGCCACCATTGTATGTCTGGTTTATGAGAGCGCTCTAGTATTTTAATGAATACTAAGACTTTTCTACTACACTATTAAAAATTATTTTCAAGCAGCAATCTTCTTAGTTTCTTAGGAAATAAAAGGAATTACAATTTCTTCCATTCCCTTCTGTTCCCTCCCTTTCTTTTTCCTGTTCCTTTTACCAGGAGTATCCAACATTTAGGCAACATTAACACTTTCTTTCAGGGTGGATTTAGGTTGCAGGTATAACTTTAATACACACACTTACACATTTCACAAAATTAACTATTTCTTTTAATACTAAGGAGACCTTCTCTTCAGTTACTTCTTTTTCTCTTTTATAAGTATGAGATGTAAAAAGATAGAGTGCAAAAATTAAACACTCAAATAAGATGGAAATGACTGTACTTGTGCATAACATCTAATATATAGTATCTAAACAGATAGTTCAGTGATTTTCTTAAGCTTGCCAAATCCTTCTCATTCTATGCACTGTTATTAAACACATTTATGATTCAGAGAAATTGTAATTAGATTTCTCTGATCACCCTGATGATCCTAGATGTTTGCTTTGTTTTAGAAACTTAACCCAGAAAGACTAAATTTGCATTTCAGATATAGCCAATTCTGCTATGTGCATTTCAAGGCTTATGGAATAAAGCAGCTAGGGGCATGATATTCAAAAACTTTGTCAGTAACACATAAAAAAAAAAGATAGAAACCTAATGAAAATGGTAACACTGTTTTACACACATTAAATGGTTAAGAAATGCATAAATCCTGCAATAAATATGGCACTTTACCTTGAAACAAAACTGAAGTTTGTTTCTGGGAGTCAGAAGGGCTGTAGCTTGTGAGTTATTTTATTGTAAAATAGAGGAATGAGGGTTTTCTGAAATCAGGTGGCATGTACTAAAACCACATGTGGATGGGTGTGACTCATAACCCAGGCTGGTGAACTGAGGTAGCTGGCAGAGGTTTGAGGAGTGTGTGTGTTTTGTGTATTCCTGCATGGCTTGGGTCAATTGGGTGCAGTTTTCTGCATTCATTGAGTATTGCTCAGGGACGAAATGGTACATAAGCAAACATTACATTTGCATTGTCCTCAGATTGTTCCTACTATATCAACTGCATCAGAACAATTCCCATGTTCCAAACAATAGCAGAACTGTATCTTTGCAAAAACCTGAAAGAGATGAAAAATGACTCATTTGGAATAAGAACTACATAATGTTTAAGAAGTGCTATAAACCATTGCATGTAAGCTGTTTTAGACTTTGTTAGCTCCTCTTTGTGGTACATGTTTTGGCTGCTACCTTTATCAGCATGATTAAATTAATTTATTTCATGTTGCCTTAAGTCATGCTGTGGGTTTGGTACAATGTAAGTGAAGCAGAAATTGTTCTTAGTTTCTCTTGAGTTTGTGCTTCCTAAAACTTGCAGTAGAAAGCTATAGGGGAAAATAGATTGCAGACATTCTTTAAATTTTAGTTGTTATATGTGCAAATGGAACACATAGCTCAGATAATAAAGGAAATGTGTATTTGTCTTTTTGATCAGTTAAGATTAGCTTCACTAATGCTCAGATTTCAGAAGACTGAAAAATGAATTTTAAGTGTATTTCCAATAAAAGAAAAATGTCTCTTTTCAGTGCATGTGGTCAAAATAAGAATAGCATGAAGTCTTCTCCAAATTTATTCTCTCTTAAGTCTTCTGAATTCAACAAATTGATACCCATATAGCTTCTCAAGCTAAAACCAAGAGACATTCTTGATCTCCATCTCTCTGTCTCTTCCCCACCTTCACATTCATTCCAAGCCTGCCAGCTCTGCCTCTATGATACATCCAGAATCTGCCCATTCCCACTGCTACCACCATCTCTTACCTGAGGCAGTAGCCTTCCTGCAGCTCTGCCTTCTCCTTCTCCTCTATAATCACCTGCCCAGCTGCCAAGGTAGCTGCTTAGAATTATAAATCAGATCATCTTACCTCACCCTAACCTTCCCATGACTTCTTATCTCATTTAGGATAAAAATCTAAACTTGACCAGGGGCCATAAAGCTACATAATCTGGCTCTTGACTACATCACTAACATCATTACCCATTCTTTGGTTCAAGCCATTTCAACCACATTGGCCTTCTTTCTGCTCCTTGACATGGACTCTTTCCCTTGCTGGAATGTGCTCAACCTAGTCTTTGCAGAACTTTGCAGATCTTCTTCCTAAGATCTCAGTTTTGATCCTACTTCTAGAGTATCACTCCTGCATGATGACCCTGCCACTTACACCCACCTATTAAATTGTCTCTTTTTATTTTTTGCACAGCTCTATTACTAGCTGATATTATCTTGATCACTTTATTTCTTTATATGTTTATTTTCTCTTTTCCTCTAGAATTAAGGCTTTTGTGGAAGCTTCTCTCTCTCATTATACACCATATCCCTGGTACATCTTCTAGTGCATGGCACTTGGGTGCTTAAAATGCATTTGTAAAATGAGTGAACTAAAGTTGAAAAAAATATAGGGGAACTATTTTTTTCTTCCTACAAAATATACAGTGTTTTGTGTTTTATAATGCAAATGCTTTCAAACTTCAAAAAATAATATTGAGCCTATGTGCTTGTTTCTACCAGTTAATAAACATTCATGGTGGTAAGCATTTAGAAATGACTTCTTATATCCAAGATACTCTCCTAAGTCATATATTAATTCATTTTATTCTTACAACAACCCTTTGGGATAATGATAAATCACCTCAAATTTTAAATATAGT